TGCGGTTAGGTAAAGGTGTTTTACNCGCTGGTAAGTCATATTTTGATTTGGCTTTGGAAGATGGTATGGTCCAGGTCCAGCGTGACTTCTGTNTACGTTGTGCTGGGCTCAAGCAGGTACCTTACAAGCTGTTGTACAGGGAGCTGTCTCAGTTGCCTTTGCAGTACTTTTGGTTACGCCTTGCGTTGTGTTTCTGGAATAAGATAGTCAAGTCCCGTGGGTCGGTCTATCATGACGTGTTAGTAGATGATCTCCGTCTGGCTCTTCTGTCTGATCTCAAAGTGGATTGCTGGTCGTCTAAAGTGCTCATCATTTTGCGTTGGTTGGGCCATGAGTGGCCGGCGTGTGACTCCGTTTCTCAGAAGGTAGATGTATACTCGTCTCAGTTGATTCGAGTGGGTGAGGTTCTGGAGAGGTTATCTGCGTTCCTTTTAAGTGACTGGGATCAGTTCAGCCAAGGGGGTGATCCGCGTGTGTTCCAAGGTAAAGGGGTTTCGCTTTGCAGGTATCATAACTGGATGGGCTCCCCTTCACCAGCAAGAGAGGGCTCCGATCCCACAGGCTATTTGCGTGTTTATTTGCCGGTCAACCAGTTGCGTATGGTTGCCAAATTCCGTCTTTGTTGTTGGCCTTTGGAGGTCAACAAAGGACACCATAGGCCGAGAGAGTGCCGTACGTGTCAGGTCTGTACGTCGGGTAAGGTTGAGGATGAATATCATGTGCTCATGGAGTGTGAGGCGTATACTGAGTTGCGTAATAGGTTTCTGATTAACGTTGAAGATACTGATATGCGCAAGGTATTTCTTAATACCAATCCGAGGAAAATCGCTACTTTCCTTACTGAGGTTTTTGATGAGCGTCAACAGCGTGCTCTGGAGCCTCACGGCTCGTGAGGGCACCCGCCGCGTCGGCGGCGGAAATACTGTAACCACAATACAATACAATACAATACAATACAATACAATACAATAGTAAGAGGTCTCCAGCAATGGCTTCACCGCCGCACCTGGCTTGCTAGCTGGCTCCGCCGCTGCCTCAATGCGAACGTTGTTGTTGAACAAGATTTCTCAGGTTTCTCGAGTTCCTAAACCCTTTATAAAACCGAATTTTGTCCTTTGCGCTTGGTGGCAGACCTACCCCAAGGATTTCCCTATCGGGGCAATACACACGGTTTTGAGTGTTTTTTCCATGGTAAAAAGCTGGTCGGATGCCGTACGTGCTGGACCAGCAAAGACCAGCTGTCCACACACGCCCGACACATCGGGATGCATATTTAGGACCGCAAGGCGCTCAGGAATGTCCACAGTATTTGTGAAGAGCAGGAAATCCGCAGGCTTGCCGGGGCGCCGTTGCGTTATTACACAGAAACTAACTGAAACAAATAGTGAACAGCTTACGCTTTATCCTTTTAGGGAAGTGCCGTTCCCGGCCGCACCCCACGGTGGGTCCAATCATTGCAGACCTTAGCGACAAACGGAGGCTTGGCCAGGTTGCGCACCCAAGTGCCCGCCAGTACTGACCGCAGCACTCAGCCCCCCCACAGCACCGAAAGATCGATCTTTCTAGAAGCAAAGCCGTGCGGCTTTCGACCCACGGTATCACAACCCTGCCACAACCTGCATAGCCGTACACTATTCCTGAACTGCCAAAAATGCCGTGCAGAAAGCGAGAACCAGCACGACCGCGGCCCCGAACGACGACATCCAGGACAGGCGACTTCTACCTGGATGTCGTTCACAAGTAGAGGAGCAAGCTGCAACACTAGCAAGCTATGTAATCCTAATAACTGTGAAGATGTGGTCCAAAGAAACCGCTGGGCCGCTGGGCGCAGCTTTCGACATGGCGGCCTAACCCCTCCCTCACCTACACCACATTGCCGTTCCGCCGCGCATGCCGCCATGCAAGGACGAAGAGAGGCACATTAACAGGCCGGGGGCGGGCGCTAGCCCGCGGCCTCCATCCATCCGCCAACCCGGCTCCCCACCAAATCCCGCTGCCAAGATCACACCAGCTCATCCCAGCTCTCCCCGTCCCCCCCCCCAACAATGTCAGCAGTCTTCTGTGCCGATGCCAGCGTGCTGCCCTTCCTCCCTTGCAATCCCCCAATGCCATTCCCCCCGGCATCCCCCGCGCCACCTCCATTCTGCTCCTCCTCGTTCATCATCAGAGCCGACCACAGCGTCGCCTTCGCCAGGTCCAGCGGCGGCCCGCGCCCGGGGAGCTGCGGCTCCATGGCCCCCCTCGACGGCCCCTCGGCAACGTCGCCCTTGGACCCGCCCGCCCCACCCGCAACGCCGTCCGGCGCCACGTGCCAGCGTTGTTGGGATTGCAGCGGACGCGGGCTCGCGTCGTCTGAGGCCCACGCGTCAGCTGCCAAGGCCGCACGGACAGACGATGCGGCGTCAGCTCCCGCAGGGGTGCCGCCGACCTTGCCGCGGGTGACGGGCGCGGCCGCCTTGTTGCCGCGCAGCACCTGCCAGCCCGGGGGCGCCACGAGAGGTGCCGGCGGTTTCAGCGCCACCCCGCCAGCTGTCGGCCCCGACCCCGCTGCCGGTCCAGCGGCAGGCCGCGCTCCGTCATGTTCCCGCTCTACCTCCGTACGAAACACGCCACGTATGCCGCCCCCAAGTCGGGAGCGGCAGTCCCGGAACGACGACTCGCGGTGGAAGGTCAGCTGCAGGGAGGAGGAGGAGCCTTGCACGGGGGTTGCTGTGTAGTCGCCTGGAATAGGTGGGGGAAGGGAAAGGAGGGAAAGGGAGAACTGCGTGAGCCATAAGGGGAACGGAGGTGAGTCGGCCTCATGGACATTCACACGCAAGGCAGCCGACAAAGCTGCAGGAGCTGCAGGGAACGAGGTATCCCTTGCAAGAAGGATGAGTCAGGCAGCAGCCGCGTCCGAGGCAAAGGTCCAGAGACCTACGTCGTGCATGTACGAAAACAGTGCTACGACTATGCTTATCCTCACGTAGATTCGCACCAGAAAGCGCTACTCGATACACGCAGCACAATATAAGCTAGCGAGTCTTCCTAACCATATAACCTACCCTCCCAGGCCCGCAGGTAGTGCTGCACATTCGTCCCAGGCGCCACATCCACCAGCTTTATCACCCAGCCTCCGCCGGCCGCGCCCCCGCTGCCAGACGCCAGCCGAGCCAGCTCCTCGGCGGGTGTAGCGGCCGCCACCACGGACAGCAGCCGGGTGGGTGCACCGCTGGCGGCGCCCTTCAGCAGCTGCACCGCGCGGGACGACCCCTGCCTGCACCGCCACCGCCACCGCCGGGGGGAAGCCGGGAAGGGTCAACAGGGTCAGGGCCCTGGTCAGGAGTACGACGGGTTTGACAGCTGGTTGCTGTGTTCGGGACGCTTGGGGAGTTATTAGCGCCTTGTATTAAGCACGACACCCTTCAGCTATCCGTGCGGGAAGAAAGAGCTCCGCCACTTCAAGGTCTGCCCGACCCACCCACCTGCTGACACCACCTGCTGACAGACACCCTGCTCATTCCTGACAAACATATGCCGGAAAATACAGCTCTGCGGCGATACGGTCCTCCCCAGCACTCCATTCGCTGGTACTCCCACACAGCTCCCACACAACGCTGCCCTGTCTCGCCGCCCCGTCGGCCCCGTTTCGCTTCCGGCGGGGCGGATCCTGTCCCGGTGTACACCTCAATTCCGAGCGTCCCATCGGCTGAGAGGTTCCATTGGGCCCCAGGCCCCCCACTTGACACGGTCACCGCCACCACACCGCCCCCGTCACTCACCCGATGGAGTGCGACACCAGACCGTAGTGCTCCGCCAGCTCATGGACCAGCCGCCGCTGCGACTGGCTCATACCGGCAGCCAGCGAGGTACGGCGCACGGACGAATCCGCAAGAAATCGAGCCAAGTCCTGCTCCACCGACGCCACCCACTCCGTACCAGCGGCCTGGGCAGCCTGCGAGGGGGGGTTGCGCAGCCAAAGAGCAAACCCCAGCGCCGAGCAACCCTCCTCAAAGCACTGTCCAGACTATCACCCAACACGGTGAGGCCAGGGCCATGGGTGATACGGACGGGTAAGCGGGGCTGGTGGGGGTGGTGGGAAGCAGTACGGCATGTTGACCTTTCATGCACATACGTAGGTCGGGGTTGGCGGGAGGTGAAGAGCCACAGCAAAGGTGTCGTCGCGGTCCGTGATCCGCAGTAACCGTGCAAGGGCCTAAGCCCAATCGCCTTTCCTCCTGCCGTGAGCCAAACACGCGCCCCGGCGACAGCATCCCGAGGAAGATTTGCTGACAAATCACCCCGGTGACTCAAGCTGCATGCCGCGACGTCCTCGAAAACGCAAGGTAAGCTTACCAAGATCAGTTCAGTCGTGTAGTTCGGCGTGCGGTGGCGATCAAAGTACGAGACGTGGCTGTCTGCTGCCGCCACCCCAAACGCCTCTGCCAGCTGAGCTCGCCGCTGCTTCACAGTGCAGTCGCGGTCACAAACCAGCTCAGGGGCCTGCGGTTAGAGTGATGCAGGCGGTCGGGGCCAGAGAGGGGGAAAGGGGCGCCGGGGGGGCGGGGGATTGAAGGAAGCACACGCACGGCTTTGTTCAGCACATACATGCATACCCAAAGAGTCCGAAGGGCAGTGGAGGGCGCCTTCTCAGCACAGGCAAAGTCCCGGTCCACGACCATTGGCCGTTTGTACAATGGTATCACTATCTTGCCCCCTTCATTTCACCACCACCACCAATCCTTCGAAACAGCGCAACGCTACATCTTTCCGCTGCTGTCGCTCTGTATGTATGGGGGATTCCACACGCGGAGCAGCACCGCGCGCGAGTGAGCGCGTGACCCCCCTTCGCCGCCTGTTCCTGTCCGCCAACAGCACAGCATCACCAGGAAATCCCCTTCACCCCTTCCACTTGACAGCCCCTTTACTACACTTAAAACACTGCCCCGCAACCCCCCCAACCGCGCAACGCAGCTCCCCAGGACACCCCTTTCCACGACATCACTTCGACGCCCCTCGCCGCCATTCCCCATTCCCTCACCAGAGCCGACACGACCCCCCCACACACAACCAATCACTCCAGGGAGGGCCCTCCAAACGCACCTTCTCATCGGGCCGAAGTGCCAGGTGCTCGACCCGGTTACCGCAGCGGCAGCGCACCGTTACCTTCCGCAGCGAAAACAGCGACGCCGCAGTGGCCGCAGCGGATCGGGGAGGGGAGGCCGCCGAAGAGGAGCCGGGTGGTTCAGCGGCAGCGGACCGGCTGCTGGGCGGTCCCCAGGCGGAGCGCGATGCGGCAGCACATGTCGAGGCGGCTGCTATGGACAACTCGGGAAAGTCCTCCCTGCGTTCGTTTGGGGAGAGGTCGTACTCCGTCGTATTCGTACGAGAATCTTGTCAAGATATGTTTCTATGATGCGGTCGCTACGTCGCATATTGTACTACACAGCGAAGAAAGAGGAGAGACACCAAGAGGAGCCGCGGCCCCTTCCATTCGGATAAACTTTGCGTCAGCGCAGCTTCATGCTCTCCAGCTGCGTCTCAGCTGAAAATCTCTTAAAGGACGCAGATGGGGCAGCAGCACATGTGGCAGGATGCCCTTCGGATGCGGGAATGCGGCAAGCGCGTGAGAGCCGTCCCTTTCTCTCCGTACACACGTTCTTAACGGGTTTGCCAAATGACTGCCAGCTTAGGTCCGTGAAGCATACACACCCACACCCACATGCGCCTACATCATGCGCAACCTGGAGGGGGCACAGATAGCACGCCACTGAGGCCGCACCCCCTCCGCGCTCCCCCCCCCGTCCGTCTTAAGCGCAACTGAATGCAATCCCATGCCCCATACCGCCCCACAGCAACCTACAAACGTATGGGGCCCGCCCCCTCAAAAGCCCTCTGATCCGACACCTTTCACTCACCGGAACGTGCCGCTACCAGGCTGACGGCCCCCCCACGCCCCCGCCAGCCCCCGGGCGCCCGAGGCTGCTGTCCCGCTGTCCGGCCCAGTCGGCAACCCCGACTGCGCCGCCGAGGGAGCACCGCCGTTCGCGGCGCCGCTAGACCTAGACCTGCCCGCCGCGGTACCGGCGGCCGCGGCCAACGACCTCGACGGTCCCAGCCCGAGATCATCATCAATCACAGCCAGGCCCCCTTCCGTATCATGCATGTCGCCCAGGGCGCCCTGGTGGTGCGGGTGCGGGTGGTGTGGCTGCTGTTGCGCCTCCTGAAGAGGATGTTGTGACTGCAGGGAGGGAAATGCATCCGGGTCCTCCAGTCCGAGACGGCCACTCGGGCCTTGTCGCGATCGCGGCTGCTGCGCTGTGTGTCGTGCCGTGCCGCTACCGCTGATGGCACCAGCAGGAGGAGCTCCTTCTCGGCCGGCTGCTGCTGCTGCTGCTGCTGCTGCTACGCGCCCGCGCCGCTGCTCGCTCCGGTCATCGCTGCGGCTGTTGCGACCGGAGGCAGCTGCGGCGGGTGCAGCGGTGGTGGTGGCGGTGGTGGTGGTCGTTCCGCGGGTGCCCATGAAGTCCAGCAGCAGGGGCCGAGCCCTGGACGGTCAACAGAGGGAGGGTCGGGGGAGAAGCACATGATAAGAACGTCGTTCCGAGCGGAGATCACGACGACGACACAGAACGGTGCAGGTGTGGGTGAACATGGCGCAGATCCCACCATCCAAATCTGGGAATTCATGGACATATGCGGCCGTTTCAAGGCGCCAGTTTTGCCGCCTGCAACACCAGTCTGTGCGACGGGTGCGACGAGCCACTGTCAAGATGTCGGGAAATCCCATCAGGACAACGTCATGGTGCGGAATTCGCCGTACAGGTCGCCGTACTTGTGAAAGGACATGTCGTCGTTTGGCCCCCTCCATGCCCCGTCATACCCGTCAAACCTACCTGGACTGGTCCCAGCGGGGCATGTACGACGAATGACGGTCGCGGATGTGGGTGTTGAGCTCGTCCCGGGTGGCGAAGGCAATCATGCAGCCGAAGCAGTCCGGATGGTCGCACGTGTAGTGTTCCTCCCGAAGATGAATCTGTCGGGGGCAGGATGGGGGCAGGTCCCACGGGTGATGTGGCTGTGAGGAACCACGTGGGAGACTGCAACCTGGGAGGCTGCGTCCCGAGACTGGACTTATGGCTTAGGGACTCTGGGGCAGCGCGAGCGACAAAACAACAATCCAGCATACATAGATACCTACATACCTACATACACACCCGGAGAAAGGTCACCGCCATGTGCCGGCAATGTCAGTTCCTTACGGCGAATTCGGCACTGGAAAGGGAACAACATTGCCACGTGAACAAATCCTCAATACTGCACGGAGGTGACGACACGCTCGAGCGCTGCTTGCGCCCCCCCCCCCAGCCCTCCGGCGGTGCATGCGATGACAGTACAGTGCCCTGGCATGTGGCTCTTGGATGCCGTGAAGATAGAGACACGGCTACACAGAAACGGCAGTTCGCGCGAACGCCATCCATGCGCCGCGAGCCCCCCCCGGCGGGGCACCCTAGCCAGGGGCCCAGCACCAAACCTTCACTCATCCGGCCCATGGCGACACCCCGAATGGACCCTAGGGTTCTCCTAGGCTCTCCTTTCCTTCAGTGGCACTTCCCAGCGACATCGGGCTCCGTTTTCCCCTTCCAAAACCCCTCCTCCAGTCGTCCTGCAGCCCCCCAACCCCCTCACCAGCAGCGTATCAGCGTCCGGGAAGTACAAGTGGTGGCGCCCCAGCCGGGAGCACACGTGGCATGTGAAATGTCGCTGAGTCATGTGCCCGTACAGCTCGTCTCGTCCGTAAAACACCAGATTGCAGTACTCGCAGCGCGGGTGCTCCGAAGCCATGTGTTTCGCCAGTCCGGCGGTGTCGTACGTGGGGTACTCCAGCGGAAATTTCAGGCCCGCACCCAGGCACACATCACACAGCAGCCGGTCGTGAGCTGACCTGTTGGAACCATGGAAGTCATCAGTGTTTTTGTTTTCATTTTTGCCCGTCCATTTTCCAGTCCAAACGGAGAAATAGGTTTCCAGTCGCCGGAATAAAATTATTCCTAATCTTTCAAGTCATGCATGGCGTCATGGGAGGTGGACAGTCCATCACACCGGCATGAACCCCCCGTGGGATCAACAGCACAAAAATCGGAAGGGGCTGTGGCACAGAGTCTATATGGGTATCCAAGCCAAAAATGTACAATGACCACACATATGTGCAGGCTGCACTGTGCCGTACACAACTTCTGCAGCGATCTTCGTGTCGAGTTCCGTAAAAGGGGGGGTGAACAACAACTGCTGCTGCCGGCAGCCGGCAGTAGTAGGGGTTGGCAACGCGTAGCATACACACATACATACACACATGCACACACGTACTGCTGCACAGATCTCCACCTGCCGGGACAAACCTACTTGTCACCAGTAACTGCCCTCTAAAGCAAGACGGGTGAGCAAAATCAGGAGGATCCGCTCCACGGCCCGTAACAGGGGCCGGGTCTGCGACCTTTTGAATATAACAAGTTCGTAAAACCAAGCGTATGCATGTGTTGTGTGTGTACACGCATACTTGTGTTCGCATGCGCAATCCCGTGCGGTGCGACACCACCAGGTACATGTACGGAGATCCCACATGACCTCTTTCGCTGTCTCATTTAATTGTAATGCCCTAGGGTGCCGTAGCAGAGCCCCACTAAGGTCAACACCAACTCGCAGGTTGATAGTCGTCACGTCAGGCGGAAGGCCTGCCACCGGCAGCCGGTGGCATGTCCCGTGGTCCACTTCCGCACGTACATACATACATACATACATTCACTCGCACCTGAGATGCGCTAGCAGCAGGTTGATTGTGCCGAAAGGACGCCGCCCTTGGGAGTCACACACGGAGCAGCTGCGGGACGTCATCGCCTGCAGGGACTTGTGAAGGGGCCGCCGCCGGCCGCCGCCCGGGTGCTGCTGTTGTTGTTGTTGGCCAGGTTGCGATGGGCGGTCGGCTCCTTCAGTAGGGGGGTCGTACACCAGCACCCCTTTTGCCCACTTGGGCTGCTGCCACAGCGCCTCCCGTTGCTGCTGCGACCCGGCCAGCGACTCGAAGGAGGTTCCAGGAGGCAGTGGCGGTCTCGCCACCACGACCTCGTTGTTCACCGTCTTGCACAGCGGGCATCGCAGGTCGCGGTAGCACAGCCGCAGTCGCAAGCAGCACCTGGCACACGTGTGGCTGTGGCCACATGAGCCCACAGCCACTGCCGCCACCTCCTCACAGCAAATCACACACGTGAGCGTCTCGCCCTCGCTGTCACTTCCGCTGCTGATAGCCTCCGCCCCCTCAGTGTGCCATTGGGTAGTGAATGATGACCCAGGTGCGTTGGGTGGGGCCCCGGCTGCAGCTATAGCAGCCGTAGCTGCCGGCGGTACACCGGCAGGGTGGTGTCGTTCTGCATCCGTTGCACCGTCGCCTCCAGGTCCATTTTGGACGCTTCGAGAAGCCCTTCCACCGCGGCCACCACGCCGGCCTCCTCTTTGACGATGAAACTCAGCAGGCGGCCCTGTCACGGTGTCAGGCAGCTGGCCATTGACTGTGGGGACAACTTCTCGGTTGTGCCCACGGCCACGGCCGCCACCATAGCGACCGCCTCTGCGGCCCCGCCTGTCGGATCCTTGCAAGGTCAGTCCGTGCACGGGCCCATCGGTGCCGTAGCTGGTGCTGGCGCCATCATCGAGTCCACCAACGGGGGTATCTTCTGTGGAGGGTCGGACCGCATGACGGCCGTCATCGTATCCTCTCAGGGAGCCGTTCTGGTCTTCACGATGGCGCGAGCGGTGTGCCGCAGGTGCGGAGTCGTAGCTGGGGCCCTGTGGTGGATGCTCACGCTGCCCGGCATGGGCAGATTGGTCCTGGGCGACACTGTTAAAGCGACCATGTTGTGATCGGCCGTGTGCGCTCCTGCCTCGGCCACGGCCGCGGTGTGGCGGCAGCGACATTGTGTTGTAAGGCTGAGTTTCAACAGCAGCTATATGACCCGCCACCTGACCTGGCGACAAGATGTCCCCCAAAAATTGGTCTTGTGCTGCTGCACTGGTATGGCGCCTGCCTGGCTGATCGCGACGCATCCGATTGGGGTGTGTATCCCGCGGAAAGGTTCCAATATTACCGTGGCCCCTGTTATTCGCGGGGCGTCCATTTGCACGTCGAACGCCGTTAGACTCAGGAAGGGCATCACCGGGACGGTCGCCACCTCCTTCTGTGGAAATCCTACTGACTGAGGAGGCTGAGGTAATTGCAGGAACCTGCGTTACTTCCATAACCTTGCCGGCTACAGAGTTGGCAAGGATCGACGCCTAACTAGAGTGTTTCAGGTTCGACAACAAATCACTCAAAACTCATGCCATGCATCAAATGGAGGCCTGTATGCAACATATTCAAAAATGAAGCTTACAAAGCCTGCAAGCACCAGGGTTATGGCCTTCAGGATTACGGTTAGGCCGGTACGAGAATCTGACGTCAAGTGGTCAATTGATGCATGGAACCATGAACGGATCATTTGAAATAATATCATTCTAAATTTTCTTCAAGTTCTTGCGACTTTATGAGGCTAAATAACTTGCGGCTGGGATATAAGATGTACCTAGGCTGGAGGTGTCTAGTTTCTAAAGTCTTACACTTGACAATACCCGGCAGAGGTCCATGAACATTGTTTTCAGCGAGGGCATGCTCTTATTGATAGCCTATTGGTCTGTCCTTTAACATGGATTTATGGTTTATGCAGGAACTTCCATAGCTTGGGCAACCACCCTATACTGCGTGGATCGTGTAATGGAAAGGAATATACATCATCTAGTCACAACCAAATTGCTTTCCTTGCATGAGATCGCTTTGTCGGCGGTTGGTTTTGAGGACAGGCGAGGAATTGCGGAACTGCGTCCGATACCAGTGATTCAGGGTGACTTCTCTCAGAGCAGCGTCCCCGTCCGTTACCAGGGCATCTGCTGGTGGGCGGAAGGAAATAGGGCAAGACAGCTGCTTCATGCATCGCTCTTCCAGTCATGTATGGTCCCCGCCAATACAACACAGAACTAATAATGTTGTCATGGCGCTCCCACTACCCATAGGCTCCAAGGCGGATTTTATGTTGCGGCCCGAGCTAGCGTTCCTGCCACACTGGATAGTGGACTAGGCGAGGATCCCATGGCGCTGGGAGGGGCCCTGGTGCTGGACCGCACCGCTTGCTAACGGGAATGAACCCCTCTACATACTCCCCTTCTGCGGGCAGGTGAACTCCTATCTTCAGTGGGCTGGAGGGAACACGTACGGCACAGGCACCCCGAAAGTTTGAGGGGCTGCAGGGGCCCTTACAGCCTGTCCTGAGGACCCTAGGTGGCAAGGCTTAATAAGGGATTACGGGAGGAAGGGCAATTGCTTGGCGCCACTTTCCATCGCAGTATTTGGGCGATCTCTTAGGAGGGAAAAAGGGATGGAAACCAAAGGGTTTGTAAAGGGGACAACCGAAGGCGGACGCGCCCAGCCGTTAGCCGCATCTGCATTAGGCTAGTTATCAATCACGCTTACTGGTTTACCAATGAACCTTAACTACGCTGGTTGTTCCCTTCGGGGAAGCCAAACCTGAAACAGGAACTCTAAGTCCTAATGCGAACAAAGCCATACACGCGCAATACTGTGGGCTCGGCTGGGTGTACACCCTAGGGGGCTCCGACAACATCAAGGTGGGCAGATGGTGCACAGGTTTTATGGCAGTGCAGTACATGCATGTGAGAGACCGGTTTGTGCTGGGGACACAGAAATAAAGCTGAGGCCAGACGGTCTCAAGTTGAGTGATAATAGGATAGCATGAGGAGGAAACATACAACAGCCATTGCATGTAACATAGTTCGGTGCATGTCTCGCAGGTGGGGATGTCACACAACCACAAAAAATGTGGGTATCGAAAGATACTGATTGAGACAAGTGGTTTAAATAGATAGCAGGAATCCACTTGGGCCTCAAGTCCCCCAGTATGATTGTGTGGCACGATATTCAATAATTCGATAATTCAAACAGGAATAACTGTCGACCGATTGGACACACGAACCAGGGACGTAGGTCCCAGCTTTATCCAGATAAAGCCCCGGGCCATACGCAGGTATGGACTTCTGCTGCAGTGCGGCATTTGAATGATGAACTTTGTCGCAAGCTGCTGGCCAACTAATATCCGTAATAGCTAGACCTGAATTCATAGTCAGAAAATGCAAACAGGTCTTAGTTAATTACAGAAATGTAAATAAACTGAGCTGGAGAAACCTACAACCGACAGTTAGAACTGCGGAACTTCCGGGCAACGCCCACACGTCGCCGTTCACGCTCGACCCCTCTCCCATCCCCCCTATCGTCCACTCCGCCCCTACCGTCCCCATCGTCGACCCCGTCCCCACCACCTCCGACGCCGCTACATACGTCCCCTCGCTCCAGGAGGCTATCACCTCCGCCGTCCGCGCCGCCATGGCCGAACTTCCTCCGGCCCCATGGTCGACCGCCCCGCAGCCCCATACTGGACCTTACGCCCCCCTCCCCACCATCGCCCAACCTCGGCCGCCATATTCGAACCTATTACATGTGTCCCGTGACTTCCCCCCCTTTGATCCAAAGGATATCCGTGCAGACATCGGGGGCTGGGACATCACCATGCGCCATAACTTGGATATGGCCGGCGTTGCCGAGGACAGTCCGGAGGCGGCTAAAATCACCCTTTCAGTTCTTCGCGGAACAATGGGCGACAGTCTACGGCGCCTCAACGCGGACCCCGCCACACGTTTTACATCATACCATGCCGTCCTACAAGCCGTCACTCCCTTGGCCCCGGTAATGCAACATGAATTGGACGCGCAGCTTGCGATGTTTGTTCTGAAGCAGGGTTCTGGACCAAACTCTCTTCAACACTATATCGCTAAATACAAACAACTTATGGCTGACCTGTCCTATCGTCATGAGAAAGACCATGTCCTCTTCTTCGCGAGAGGACTACGGGCCGACTTAAGGGAGGAGCTCTTCTCGTGCCTCCGCCATCTGGGTTCCTGCATGCGGTTGCAGGATTTAATCGACCTCACGCTCACCATCTCAACGGGGCGCGACGCTGCCAACCGCATCCGCGACGACCCCACTCCGCCACGACCACGGGATCATCGCCGGAACGACCCGATGGACACCTCCGCCGCCCTAGTCCGTCTACCCCAGGGCACCCGCACCATCAACGTACCCGCCCAGCTCCGCCACCAACGTCAGGACGCGGGCCGGTGCTTGCAGTGCGGATCAGAGTTCCATGATAAGCTTTCGTGCCCGGACCTTATTCACCTGGTACGCCAGCAGTCCTCCAGGCCTCCTTCGCCCTTTCATGGACGCTCCTGCCCCAACGACCGCTCGCCTTTCCTTCCACCACCTCTCGAACCGCAAGCCGCTCCCCTTCCCGCTCCCCCTCCCGCTCCCCGGCTCGCACCGACAATTCCGACCGCCGTCGCCAGGACAACGACCGCGGACGCACCTTTCCCTCCCGTTCAGACAGCCCCCACCCTCGCCGCGATGACCAGCACCGCCGCGCCGACCCAAACCGCCGCCGCTCGCCCCGTCCCCGTTAACGTGGCCTTTAAGCCACCACCGGCAGAACAGGTTAGCCACAGCTTGCCGGTGCATTTTGCTGTGCAACGGTCAGCCGAGTCTGACACCCCGCCGCCGCCGCCGTTCAACGTTTCGCGCCTAACCCAGATCACCAGTAAGCCCGCCCGCCGTGTAGGTTGTATGCGTGCTCGTGTTGCTGCAGCCTCCACGACGGATGCGCACCGGGTGGACAGCGACTGGATGCTTACGCGCGCCATCTTCCTCGATCTTGACTCGCAGTATGGCCCCTTCACCGTCGACGCCTGCTGCGACGGCATCAACGCCCACGTCGTTCCCTTCTTCTCGCCGTCCCGCTCCTTTCTGTCGGCCCAAGTCGATGGCGAGTGCGTCTGGATGGTCCCGCCTACATCGTCCCCGTCCGCCTTCATCTCCCAGTACCTGGAATCCAAAACGACTAACCCTCGCACCTCCGCCATCATCATCTTACCAGACCGTCCTACAGCCCCCTGGGCTCCCCTCATACGCCACATGACCGTCATGCGCCGCTTTCCTGCTGGCGCGTGGATCGTCTGCCGCCGCGACCCCTCCGACGCCTCCAGGTACGACGAGCCAGGACCTTCCCCCTGGCCGCTCATCGTCCTTTACGACCCACCGTCCAACACCCCCTTCACGCTCGCCACTTCGTCCACTACCTCCTTACCTATTTCGTCGTCTCCATCGCCACCTACTTCGTCGTCTTCGTCCTCTCCTATTTCGTCATCTCCGTCGCCACCTACTTCGTCGTCTTTGTCCTCTCCTATTTCGTCGTCTCCGTCGCCACCTACGTCGTCTTCGTCCTCTCCTATTTCGTCGTCTCCGTCGCCACCTACTTCGTCATCTTCGTCCTCTCCTACTTCGTCGTCTACGCTACTTACTACTTCGTCACTTCCGTCTCTTCCCACCTCGTCGTCTACACCACTTACTACTTCCTCACTTCCATTACTTACTACTTCGTCACCTCCGTCCTCTACCATTTCGTCACCTCCGTCGTCAACTATTTCGTCACCTCCGTCGGCAACTATTTCGTCACCTCCGTCGTCAACTATTTCGTCACCTCCGTCGTCAACTATTTCGTCAACTACTTCGTCGCCCCCGCTTACCACCACCTCCCGTGTTCGACAACTCACCCACCACTTCGCAACCCCAAACCCACTCAACCCAACCGCGGAACAACCTCCGCCGTCCCGCTCCAACGTCGCTCGTCTCATCGCCCGCTTCTCGCCCTCGCCCCCAGCCCCACAACCCTCCATGGCTCCCGCACCTTCACCTTCTCCTACCCCGCAACCACCCACCATTATAACCGCCCCACCTCCGCGCGTCTCCTTCGCTTCTCCCCTCG